GCATACCTACCAAACGGGTTACGCGAACCTCGGTAATGGACAGCCGGCTAAGTTGTTCTCGTCGTGGGATAAACAGACTGTGGACACACACTTCAAATGGATGAAAGAGGTGAGTACGCCCTGTGATCCATATACTGCATCTATGATTGTCATTCATTGAAAGCCGGGCCACATTAACAGTCACACAACTTTGAACATCATACATTAGTCAGTATTTTATCACTCATAGTGTGGCACGGATTGGTACAAGTGCTCATCGTAGCCATATATCCTTGAATGGCTTTATGTTATTCCCTGGTGCTATTATCGGTGAGAGTTATGAGTTAAGCAATGTTTACCACTTTTTGATTTATAGACAATTCAATAAGTGGCAGGCAAAATTTTTACAGATAATTGACCTCTCCCATACTTAATCCCTCCTTACAAACAAAATAAAACGTGTAGTAATAGTGCTCATGCTATTGGCTGACCCCACTCCATCCCAGTGTGTATTTACTAACTGACTAAACACTCCCTGATGTGTCCGATCAGAACAACATCGATACGGCGGCTCTGCAGCGGTTTGGGGGTCACGTAAAGCGCGACCCAATCGACACGAAATCGATGAACGGTGTGGCCGACAACGTGAGGGCCGCTGCCGAGGCTCACGACCGCAAGTTCTACATCATGTGGGATATCAGCGGTTGGACCAACTTCTCCACAGAACTCATCGAGGACTACGACAACAACATCAAGCGCCTGGTGTCGAGTAAGGCCTACGCCCACCAGAACGGCAAACCCGTGGTCTGCATCTGGGGCTTAGGGGTCAGCGGTCGGCCCAATGACACGGTGGGCGCCACCGCCCTCATCGCACACCTTAAGAAAGAGGGTTTATATATTGCAGGAGGTGTGGGCAGGCAGTGGCGCACCGACACCACAGCCTTTAAGGACGTCTACACGAAGCTCGATATGTTGCAGCCCTGGGCGGTCGGCCGCATGCGGAACATCAAAGAGGCCGAGGATTACAAGAAGACATTGGAGGCCGACCACAGCCTACTAACGCAGCATAAAATAGGTTAGTATTACATCAGGGTCTATTTCAGATGCGTTTTCTGGGTTATGAATATTTTACATAAATAATTCATTTAGCAAATGATTACTGCTAAAATAAATAAATTCAAAAATAATTTTTAGCTTACAAGATTTGCATTCATAGGAGTATACAAATGGAGTAAAACATTTTGCAATCCAAAAATTATTTAGCAATTCATTAACTAGTATTCATTTATTAAAACATTCATAACCCAAGTCAGAGTGTAATGTTCAAAATCATTGTAAATCAATAGACTGACAATTGTTCAAAATCTATAGACTTTCAGCCGGTTCTATTTCCGGGCTTCACGTGGGCTAATTGGCAAGATAAGGCCGTACGTAATCAGATCCCGCGTGAGCATGGTGACTTCATGTGGCGTCAGTTCGTGAACGTGCGAGAGCTGGACATCCCGTCGTGTTATGTGGCGATGTTTGACGAGTACGACGAGGGGACGGCCATCGCAAAGGCGGCCGAGAATAAGTCAATGGCGCCGACAGAATGGTTCAGCCGGGTCTGGTCAACAATTAATGAGACCATTTTAATTTAAAAAGTAGTTGTAGTGTTTTTAATTAATATAGAAGTCTATTTTATTTTGAAAAGTATACTTTTAATTATGTATTAAATTGGGATAATACCTGATCCCATTGTACATAAATGGTTCAGCCGGGTCTGGTCAACATATGAGACAACTTTCAGATAAATAGTATTAATAGTTGCAAGGTTGTATTTCTTATTCAATGCAACAGTTTTTGGCTATACTTTTAATAGATTACTGACTTTCACTCATAAACTGTAACATAAAGTCTAATATTTGAAAGTTTTGTTAAAATAAATAATTTGTTAGTTTTTGTAATCATTTCGTGATTTTACTTAAAATTGTGAATTGATTTGTATTATCATTGAATTGATTGTCACTCATAATGAATATAAATTTAGACATGAATTCAATGTACAGTGGATTGAAGTCTAAACTGAATTTATTGTCAAATATAAAGGCTTTTGATTTCAATTTGTGTGAAACTAAGACTCAATTCATTGAGAACTCAATTGATTGCAGTTTTGGAGACAATAATGAATTGAATGACAAATTAATTGATTTCAGAAATTGTCGAAAATTATTGACAATTAATGCCAATTATAATGACAACCAATTGAGTGATGAATCGGAAGAGCACCGGGAGATACAGGGATTGAATGAAGTGTTGGACGAGAATAGTGGTGACCCGGAAGCGAAAGAGGAGACACAAGAAGTGCAGACTTTGGACACAGAGGTCGACGACAGAGACAGAGATGAGACGAAAGGACCGGAAGAGATGTCGGGACCAGAAGAGGGCGGAGAGAGTGGTGTCGGAGAAGAGGTTGACAGAGAAGACAGCGTTGATTGTGAACCGATTGCCAGCACTAGTCGTTCGGGTGCTAAGAGTGTCTCAAATGATCGTCCATTTGTGTGTTTTTGGCCCAATTGTGGCAAACGATTCACTCGAAAAGATCATATCAATCGACACAAACTTTACGTTCATTTGAATGAAAAGAGATTTCAATGCGATTATAAGGGATGTGGTCAGAGGTTTGTGATGAATACGGATTTAAATCTTCACAAACGGGTCCACTCGGGAGAGAAACCATTTGTCTGCGATGTCATGGATTGTGACAAACGATTCGCACAGAAATCCAATTTAAATAAACACATAAATGCTGTTCACTTGAAACTCAAACTATTTGTTTGCGATGAAGATAATTGCGGCAAAAAATTCAACGAAAATGCATCACTTATTCGTCATAAACGCATTCATACGGGAGAAAAACCATACGTTTGTGATCACAAGGATTGTGGCAAACGTTTCACTGATCCGTCACATTATAGACGACATGAACGCAAACATTTGACGAACAAATAAATACAGAACGAATACAGTAATAGTAAATTACTTTTAATCGATAATGGTAATGATAGAATATAGTTCGCAATGATTTTGATAATAGTGATTAATATACTACTGTAGTTATTACTAGTGAACAATATATAACTCACAATGCGTGAACAGAAAATGTTCCCGCTAATTGCAATTAAACCCTATTGAATTATACTCGTATGGCATTGAATAATAATAATATCCAGGTCTATATTATGGGGATGTCTTCAAATCGATTCTTATATCTGTAGACACGCTACGAAAACTCTATATTTTTTGCTATAAAAACGAGTCAGAGTTACAATATTTGAAGTGAATGTAATTAACAACTAAAATGTGTAGTTTTTATTTCGCGTCGACCGATATAACCACCGATTTGGTGACCTAAGACATTCCAATAGTTTACCGGACCTGGATATTACTATTATACAATTCCATACGAGTATAATTCAGTCGGGTTTAACTGCAATTAGCGGGAACATTTTCTGTTCTTTCATTGTCAGTAAATCAAATTATTATTGTTTTATTCTTTAAAATAATAGAATAATAGAATTTAGATTGTTGTTAGAAATAATCTGTCAAAAACAATATTAGGTACGCTAATTAATTTAAAAGTGCAAGTTTTTATTATTACCTTGAATACCGTACCTAAAAAATTATAGGATAACTGTACTTAAAATTCATTTGCTTGTAATCTTAATTAATAACATAATATTAAAGTATAACTAAAAAGCAAACTAAATGTATTGTATAATGTTAAGCGTTCGATGAATAAATATTGATGACATTTTTCAAAAACTCAAAATTCATCTACGTAATCTAACTAAAATTATTTTGATATATAAATTAGAATTGTCATTGTAAATTGACCATACTTTCATTTTTAATATAAATATATAAAACTTATTTTCTACATTTAATATACCTTTAAAATATCCTGCATGAATCTAAGATTAAGTTTTATCAGGAAAAATACTTTGGTACGAATGTACTGATAGGTCCTTAATAGTATATTTAACGCAATTGACATTGAATGTCTCCTGGGTCAGATTAGAAAACTTTTCCAATGCACCAATTATCAAATAAGTATTCAATATATTTATTGTAAAATATTGATGATTAGGGTATGGTTTACATAAATACGTATCTATAAAAACAATAAACTTTATGATCAGTTCATACCGTATGAAGTGAAATGAAAGCACCTAGTGCAGTTATAGTGTTCATAGTATGCCTGTCAGCGGCCACACCACTACTGGCCTTCAGTGCCGTCGGCGACGTTGTCGGCAAACTGACGGTCGGATACCAGGGATGGTTTGGCGCCAAAGGGGATAACTCACCGCATAATTCATGGGTCCATTGGGCACAGGGTAGTGACCATCCCTGCAAAGATCACTCTAAGGTTGACGTCTATCCGGACACTCGGGAATACACGCAAACCTACCAAACGGGTTACGCAAACCTCGGTAATGGACAGCCGGCTAAGTTGTTCTCGTCGTGGGATAAGCAGACTGTGGACACACACTTCAAATGGATGAAAGAGGTAAATATCCTGGTGATCATATGTCCTTGAATCGTCTTATATTTGCTTATATGCTATTTTCTGTGGGGAGTTAAGAGTTAGGCCATGTTTACCAACCTTTCTCAATGAGTGTATGACATTAGGATTACAATTATATGTCCCTTACGTTTCCAAATGGAGATAGCTTTTCATTCATATGAATTTCAATGGGCTCAAGGTATTGCTGTAAATGTTCTAGTTGCTATAATTTGCTACAATTGTTCAATATAATTAGGTTCTAACTTTTAAATCTACTGATATACTGATCTCCACCCCCACCCCATCCCAGTATGTATTTACTAACTGACTAAACACTCCCTTATGTGTCCGATCAGAACAACATCGATACGGCGGCGCTTCAACGGTTTGGGGGTCACGTAAAGGCCAACCCCGTCGACGCGAAAACCATGAACGGTGTGGCCGACAACGTGAGGGCGGCCGCCGAGGCTCACGACCGCAAGTTCTACATCATGTGGGATATCAGCGGTTGGACTAAATATACCACAGATCTCTTCGAGGACTACGACAACAACATCAAGCGCCTGGTGTCCAGTAAGGCCTACGCCCACCAAAACGGCAAACCCGTGGTCTGCATCTGGGGCTTTGGGGTCAGCGGTCGGCCGCAGGGCCCGAAGGAAGCCATCGCCGTCATCGAGAGCCTCAAGCAACGGGGTCTCTATGTGGTGGGCGGTGTGGATACCCATTGGCGCACCGACACCACCGGCTGGAAGGATGTCTACTTGAAGCTCGATATGTTGCAGCCCTGGGCGGTCGGCCGCTATAATAATATCAAAGGGGCCGAGGATTATAAGACGACATTGGAGGCCGACCACAACCTACTGAAGCAGCATAACATAGGTTAGTATTACATCAGGGTCTATTTCAAATGCGTTTTTTGGGTTATGTATGTTTACGAAAATGAATATTTCTGATGTAAATAAATTTTAAAATAATTTTTCCATACAAGATTTGCTTTCATAGGCGTAATACAAAACCACATTTTGCATGCTAATAATTATTTAACAATTTATTACAAATGATTCAAACCACTGTACTGTATATGCAGTATATTAACCAAGTACAATATTGTATTATTTATAGTTAATTTTTCAATACATATTGTTTGAATATAGAGAAAATCGGTTATTCCTTTGACCATTCATTTAGTAAAACACAATTTAGATACTAATGTTCAAAATCATTGTAATACCTGTCTCTATAGACTTTCAGCCAGTTTTATATCCGGGATTTACCTGGGGCAATTGGAAGTCCGGGGCTGTACGCAATCAAATTAAACGTGAGCATGGTGACTTTATGTGGCGTCAGTTCGTGAACGTGCGAGAGCTGGACATCCCGTCGTGTTATGTGGCGATGTTTGACGAGTACGACGAGGGGACGGCCATCGCAAAGGCGGCCGAGAATAAGTNCGAGAGCTGGACATCCCGTCGTGTTATGTGGCGATGTTTGACGAGTACGACGAGGGGACGGCCATCGCAAAGGCGGCCGAGAATAAGTCAATGATTCCGACAGACCAGTGGTTCCTGACGATGGACGCCGACGGGGTGGCCGTCAGCGCCGACTTCTACCTCCGACTCGCCGGCGATGGCAACCGAATGATGCAAAAGCAGATACCGTTGACTCAAACGCATCCCACAAAACACTACCCGTAATGCCATATATATGTCATTTAAAACGGTTTATAATGTTTTAAAAATTCAACAAATTATAAGTTATTTATAAATAAATATATTTCTTAAATAAATGTTTTACAAAATTTATGACGACATGAACGCAAACATTTGACGAACAAATAAATACTTTGTTAAACACTTATTACGATTATATGATGTTTCTATAATTTCACAATTATTATGAATAAAAATTTAATTTGAAATAATTTTTGTTTTCATTTAAATTATTATATTTGTGTTTTGTTTGAACAGTAATTAAAGTATGAATAGAGAGCATGACTTGTATTGAACTCACAATACATGACATGAACTGTAATTCAAGTTTTATATTGAAAGTCACAAAATGATCAGGGATGTGTTATAACTTTTTGAAATCCAAAACAAATCTGTAAAGTGCATCGAAAAGAGCCCAAAAATCTAGTCTAAAAGAATGATTAAATATTTATATAATTTGATACCTGGTATAAATTGATTGAATAACCTTTCTTATTATTTGTTACGAAAAATGTGTTTTATGGACATGTACAGTTTGAAGTTCAATATTTAAACTTTTACAAAAGGTTTTTAGGCTGGATTTTTGAGCACTTTTCAATACACTTTACAGATTTGTTCTAGGACCTATTGTTAAAAAGTTATAATTAATATTTTGAGAAAGTTTAAAAATCAATATCCATGTATCAAACGCATTTTAATTTTACGCGGAATAGTTTTTAAAGTTTAAAAATCGCATGTGAAATTGCCAAGGTGCAATCATATTTTCAAAGTTAAATCAAAATACTTAAAAGTACTCAAAAACCTAATGTACTATTTTACTATATAAAAATCGGTCACTGTTACTTCATAGTGAATTTATATTTGGCTTTTGACTACTTTTTAATTCAATGTCCATTAATTATGGCCAGTATCTTAAGTTATCAAATTCTTGTCTAAATACAGTGGACTGGGTGAGACTGAATTGTGTTAGGCATTGTTCACATATTACGTTAGCACTTGGGGGGAGGGGGTGTCGGCCAAAGCGAACTTTTGCGAACGAGATGAGTGGAGAGCAGTGGAGGAAAGTGTGTATCAAGTGATTGGTCTGACCATAGAAGGAGTGAATGCACTCTCACTCTAATCAATAATTTAATGTGTTTTATAGCATAAGTCAGTTGTTGTGGCACTGAGTCTGTGACACACATTTGAAGGATTGCTCAAACAATACATTTTATTTCTTTTGTGATTTCAAACAAACGCTTTCATTATTTACTAATATTAACTCAATTACAAAAGCATCTAATAAATGATTAGTTAGTAATTAATGGGAAATAATTGTAAAATAATATAACGAAATGGATTTGAGTGATAGACTATTGAAGAGGCAAACTATAAGTCAATGATCTGTTAGAATGTAAACTACATGGGAGTCTGCATTCGCCTCATAATCAGTGCATCGATCAGAAAATGGCGCTTTCCTTAGCCGGTCTACGCCCTAACCATCACTTTCTGCACTTTCTTCTCTTTGCTATTCTTCAGCTCCTATGCAGATGTCTAGTCCTAACCGATAGAAACAGATACTGTAAGTAATCGCTCACTTATTACACATTCTACTTGTAACTCGTTCATTGTATTTGACTTAACAATCATTTACAAAATGCCCTGCTCCTATCAGTATCTCAATCGTTTCTATGATGTTTATGATGCATGTGATTAATTTAATTTTGATAATTAACTAATTTGGTTATCAGTATAATAAAAAATAGTATTGAGAAATTGTCTTATTTATGATGCATAAACTCTTCAGTTCAGGCAGTGGACAAACTTATCTATTAATAGCATTTGATGCAACTGTTTATCATACATTTCAGGGACAATGTATTGCAACCGTTGCAGTGAAGTGCCCTTTAAGTGCAAACCCAATGAAAACTCTATTCATTTAACTTATTTAATAAAATATTTAACACTTAATTGAAGAGTGTGCTAGAACACATTGACACAAACAATCGGTTCAATTAAAGTTTATTTATTATTGATTTTCAGACCATATATCAGCCCTATGTATGAGAGAACGCATTCATCCGCTGCACAAGAAAGTTGACGGCGCCGTCATCACCAGCAAGTCAGAGGACAACCTCGACTGTACCATCACTTTCCAAACGGATACCATTTTGCAGCGATTTATGCTCCGCTTCGAGAAGTTGGCCCTCGATTGCGACGACCACTTATACATATACGACGGCGCCCACGCCATTGGCAACCATAAAGTCAGCCATTCATATGATAATTGTTAATGAGTTATATTAATCAACTGTATTGTTATGATGCAAAACAGGCTGACCTGTCGTGCCGTAGCACTCGCACAGAAGTGGGCACAATATTCACCCAGGGAAGCTTTCTCACACT